ACGTCGTCCCCAGAAAACCTCACACCAGAGAAAGGAAATTAATTTTCCCAAGGCCACTTTTCTGCCACCATGTCGAGAACCCAGGGAGCAGCTGTGACAAGAGCGAACACTGATTTCTCTCCTGATGCTTCTGATCCACGTTTCAGAAGTGCTCGTCCCTTCCCGCGGGTTATTGTGTTTGTACACATACTCATGTCCCCGAGTGCCTGTTTCAGACACTGCACGTGACATGGAAGGACGATCCAGCACAAAAGCACGCTATAACCTTCCACAGACCTCTGCTCACCTCCATGTGGACCATGAGGTCAGTAATTACAGACACAAACTGAACTCTCTTAAAAAAAAAATCTTATCTTTCTAGGCTTTTTCTATTATTTTCCCCTGAGGAGCAAATTAATAATGATGTGCTGCACAGAAGAAAAACGACAACAAATTTATTTGCCAACTGTACATGGTAATAAACTCAAGGAAAGAAGTTTATAACCAGTTTATAACCAATGAGACATTATTGACAGCCAGATCTCAACATGATTTTAAAAATATCTCAGGACAGGCTTCCTGTAACACTAGTAAATAGTAGCTAACTACATCATCTTTTGAAAGAAGGCAGTTTTCTTTTGAAATTTTTGAATTCATGGTTGATTTATTTGGATTTTTTCTCTGATTTTGAGCACACGCGATCAAAATGCAGGAAAATACATATAATTTTCAGAGACGCAATAATTACAGCTTAAGTGAACTTCCTGCACTCTGCGATGACTTCTTCTCTTGCTACAAGAACGCACTTCCCAAACCAACGTTCATAATGTTAAATTAAATAAGTGTTTTAAACTGCATAATTTACGCTAATCTAAGAAGTGTTTTGCCTAGACCAAAGCTGGTGGGGTTGTTTTACCTCTAAAACTGTTGCACTTCTACGTTAGTTGTCTGTGATTCAACACAGCACGCGTGTCAAACTGCTCTAAAATTGTGCCTGGGTACCTCTTAATTTCCACAGGCTGTTTAATATTCTGCTAAATATATTTTTTTTAGTAGAGATGTTTTTTGTAGTTCGTTTTCTGGGTTCTCCACTGTCAGTGCAGTGATCTGCCATTGCTCGTAGGGAATGATGGAGAAAGAAAGCTCAATTTAAATTGGGATTACAGTGCTGAAGAAATGTAAGCACAGCCATAGGAAAATAAGGCTGGAGAATAAATATAAAACTTGGAAGAACAGCCAACTACAGGAGCATACACACAAAATGTCTTATCTGTAAGAAAACAGTGTCACATCTGGTTTTGTCTATGCTTTCTCTTTGTGAAGGACTCCCTCAAATGTTGATGACACCATATATTCCCCTCTAATGCAAACTGGCAGAAGGCCACAGCTTTCAATAACAGCAGAACCAGCATCTTTCCAAGCATCTGTTAAGCAGCTAGACCTCCTGGTCTGGAAATATGTGAGCAACCGACGACGCTTATTCTTGGTGATAATGAGGACAATCAGAGGCTCCAAGGTTTTTTATGTGATTAAGATGAGTCACCCAAAGAACATGGGGGCACCCAACCGGGCATTGCTCATAGTGAGGACACCTCTGTTGTGACAGACGAAGTGCAAGGCAGCACACAGCACCTTTGGGGACCATGCAGATATTGCCCCAGAAGCCTTTTCAGGAGAGTTTTTTAGGAATTATTTGACAAACAAGAAGATTCAAACACCATTTGGGTTTCTTGCACTTTAAGGAAGAAAAAATGTCTGAAAAATGGAAATGGGAGCATCTACCAAGGAGGCTAAATACCAGGAGAACATGTTGATATGGGCGGCTTACGGAAATCTGCCTTGAGCTCCAACTCAGAGGAAACTTCATGAAAATAATTTGCAAATGTTTGCAAATAATGCAAATTAAACATAAGGTGTCAGTGAATAAAGTGAGGTCTCATCACTGAATCTGTAGCATTAATACGCTATGGCCAACATTCCTCCGTTCAGTTCCCCAGTTCTGCAAGAGAGTTTGGGCTGCAAACACAGCAGTTCAACAGCATCAGAGCCAAACTGTGCAATGAAAAGCTGAGTGAATGGCCAAAACAATAAGGATTCAACCCAAAATAGCAACATTTCACCACCCATAAAATCTCTGCAAGTTTGGGATGGCAGAGAGGGAGTTTGGGTAGCAATGAATCTGAGATGGTCAACTTGGATTCTGAAAACGATACATCAACGTGTAGGTGTAACAAGACAACGTTAGGGAATGGAAACCATTTGGCTAAATACAACATGAGATTGAATGGAGTCACCGTCCCAACTCAGTCTCATAAGGGGGTCACTACATGTCCTCAACACACCGGTCCAGAGCCAGCTCGGTTAGATGTGAAATGAGTTATTTAATTCAGCAACTCTGCATTAAAGTGCTAGAATACAATACCACACACACTGGAAATTAAAAAAAAAATGTCTGCCATTTGATAGAGAAACCTAATTTACAGTAATTATTCATGTCTGCAGAATACATATGACAAAACCAAGGGAAATTAAAAATCCTATAAATAGCCTCGCTGGAGAACAGCTGGTTAGATCCCATACAATAACCAAGTATTTATACCGATCCACACGTTTCTGCATCACCAAGAAAATGACAATTGCAACCCTGAAATTCAGTTTAGATCCATGAAAAGTACAAAAGGAGAATGAGAGGAAATTGAAATGTCAGAGCAGCTGGACCTCACACTTCCCATTACCATGTTAACGCCAAAAGCTGAGGATAAAGGAAAACCCTGAATTTCAGTGTTCACCATCACTCAAGTGCTTGGTCTTTTCTTCAGGGGCATATTCTACACGCACTACAATTTATTGCTTCATCACAAGGTAAGGTGTAGATGGAAATTCAAAAATGCCTTATTCTATTTGTGCAGAAGGATGCAGGCAGCCCCAGTCTGGCCCCTGGCCCCGCGGCAGCGTGGTGCTGAGCGGGCACAAAGCTTGGCCACCTTCACCACCCATCCTCCTGGGAAACCTGCTCCAGTTCGGGCCTGTCCCCGAGCTCTAGTCCATGTGTGCACCCTGAGTGTCTTGCACTGAATTTAAATACATTGAGCAAAGTGCAGGCAATTTATCAGTGCGGCATCTCAAAGGACGCATTAACAGTAAGCAAACAACCAGAAAGGTGTCCTGCATTTACTTAAAAAAAAAAAAAAGCAACATTTTTTATTGCAAGAGAACACAAAGAACTTAAGACACTCGTGATGGGGAGACGGGGAGAAGCTGGACAAGGCACCATGTGTGTTTCCACTGACGGCCGAAAGGCAGCGGCAACGGAAAGGACAACACTTTCCAACAAGTGTTTCCTGGCAGCGTGCACTTCTGACAGTTACAGACAATGAACAGCAACATCTCTGTGAAACACAGCAAATGCACACATAATGTAACAGGTCCAGGAAAAACAATTTCTGCCTTACCTTCCTCTACCTTCAGCTTGGGGATAAAATACTTTGGTTTTAGAATCATAGAATCATAAAATTGTTTAGGTTGGAAAAGATCTTTAAGATCTAACCTAGCACTGCCAAGTCCACCACTAAACCACATCCCTAAGCACCACATCTACACGTCTTTTAAATACCTCCAGGGATGGTGACTCAACCACTTCCCTGGGCAGCCTGTTCCAATGCTTGCCGTTTTGTTCAAAATGGCATACAAAAATATTCCAAAGCCCAATGCAGGATGGTAGTTGCTGGATCAGAAGAGGATGACTCCTGTTACACCATGTAATGTCTAAGTCTGGTCTACATGTATTTAGACATCAAACCAGCTGTAACCTTTGTAAGAAATTTTTCTGCTTACTTCACCTGATTGTGTCAAATATGTACACAAGAAAGGACTAGTTTATACAAAGAACCTTTACTAAAAATAGGTAATTGTGAACAACCATCACGGGACAACTGGCATCAACACCACTACATCGAGCTTCTGGCATAGAATGGTCCCCAAAAAGGTCACAAGAATCGACAGGGAAGATGTCTAAGGTGAAGCAAGAAAGCGGACACCTCAACTAGTCAATGAAGTGAGATATTTTACATTAAAAAATGTGTGTTTAATGTGTGTGCATGTATACACATATGTATGTACACTCACATAAATCTCTTATTCATACATCATAAACATATCTATAGGCACTGCAAACTTTGTAATATTTTTCTCTGTAAAGTCACATATCACAGACATCCATGGTAAAGAAAAATACCTACGTTAAGACAAAACTGAATTTAAAAACATTTTTACACTCAGAATTTGTGGTATCATCAGAGACATTTCAGTAATCATAAATGTCAATTATGGAAACCAGCTTAAGAACTGACCTTTGCATTGAGCTTCCCATTGAAAATAAATTTGATTAAAAAACAAACAACCACTGCCCAACAAACCTTTTGCGGTTTTGCATGGGACTGCTGGGAATTGTTGTGTGCACCTGTAAAAATTGCCCTCTCACTCCCAAGCTAAGACTCAGAGAAGTGGTATTAAGGGCTTTTCCTTTTTATATTGGCACTGTAAGTTAACTTTCAGTAAGTAAATTCAAGCTAACTTTCAAGAAGCAAAAACTACTGGCCATTCAAAATCTGTTTTCTCATACTACTTAGAAACTTGACACCTCTGAATTTCTTCTTTCAGGAAAATTTGTATTGCAAAGCCTTGTGATATTGCTCTCAAGTCTGAGTGAAGGGATGGCATCTGGGGGGAGGTTAATCCCTGAATAGTAGCATTTGTCTTAAACGGTGAAAACCTGGCCCCTGTGGATACTAATGCCCTGGACATGGTCTACTATGGAAGACATGGAGGGGTCACCTTTCCTAGCAGCTTTCTTTTGGCATCCTCCTGTAGCAGAAGTATCGATTTGAATGAAGTCTGAATGGGGACCTTTGGGCGTGGAGGCACCAGGAGAACTGGCAGAAGCATAAAGCAGTGACAGCTGGACCAGGTCATCCCAATCCCAGCTACTCAAGGCATCGAGGTTGGGAAAGCAGAAGACTCACTGAGCCCATTAAGGGATGATGGTGGGAAGATGACGAGCAGAACTGGAACTGTACAGCATCCTCACCAGGCAGGAAGACAACCGACATCGAATACATCGAGTGCTGCCTAATGAATTCCCACAGAAGTAGGACAGACTAAAGAGACATGAGATCACAGTCACTGGCAACTCCCAAAGGGAAAAAAGGGCACATCCAACAACCAGCACATGTTCACCAACCTCAGAATAACACCGGAGGCAAGATGTGGACTTGACAGCAGGCACCTCTTGTCCTCTACATGACTGGCAACCCCGGACACATTACTTGGGCACATGTCCCTCGACCCTTGTAAGGACATGAGCATGACAGAGTAAGTGTAAGTGATACCACTTTGGTTAAAATCAAATAACCTTCTTCTTCTTTATTGCCTTGTATTGAGCTCTTCTGCATTAGCTCAGCTTTGTTCAAACAATGTCACAAGAAATTCATATTGCATTGGGATGCTCTGATATAACGCCACTGAAGTACAAAGGAAGGGAGTATACCGTAGGAAAAATAACAACCTTCGCAAGATTGTTCACCGCTTAGAGACTGTAACTGAATTAGTTTCTGGATTTGCTGAAGTGTGTTTTTACAACACTTTGAGGAGGGTAATGACTCGTTCTGGCTGGGTTTTATACGAGTTACAGCCTAAAAGCTGTTAGATTGTAAAAACGGTGACAATTTGGGTCTGAAAGTGAATCTGAGAGTCTGATTTTCAATTCCCAGTCTCAGCTTGCGTATTTGTAAAACATACACACATATGAGATTTAGAGTTTGTACTGCAAGACCAATTTGAAAGTGCAGCTCTTGTTTCAGGAGTCTTGCAGGGCCAAATTATAGCACTTGCACGAGCACAGGAATTTGCTAAGGGCATGTGAAAACAAACACATTATCAGCAATACAATTTACAAGCATCCAGTTAAAGGTCCATGTGAAAGCGTCCTTCTACCCTTTAGAAAGTAAATGGAACAGAAAAGAGGAAAACTCACCAGCATCCCAGCGCAATCTCCCACACAGTAACAAGAGCAGTCTCTAAAGCAATTTTCAATTAAATGAAAGACTTATAGAATTAAAGTTGTAATACATTATCGATCGTCTACGGAAAGAATATCTGATCAGTTGTAGCTAAGAATCCTTCCCAGCTTGTTCCTCTTGAATGGCGATTATACAAATAACAAAACAAATAGGGAATTGTAGGACAATATCTAACAGCAAATTCTGAGACGCTCGTAGCTGATGTTATCTCACATTGCAAGGAAAAGTGTGTTTGTTTGATCCAAAGTAACATGATGGTTTAAGGCAAAATTATGAGAATATAATTGACCATTTGAGCCACTTTTTATGAGAAGGGCAATATTTCTGTCTTTGTAAGAACATTATTGTTTTACTGCTCTGCAAGTCATGCTTCTGCCTGCTACTTGCATCATGTAGCAGCTACCTGAGGTAGAAAATATTACCTAGAACTCATCTGTTTTCTGAAGTGTTCAGCAACAGATAATTTATAACTTAAAGATAAGTAAGCTATCATTATGAGTATTGACAGCATACAAAGACAGCTGTTTCTAGTGCTGATGTGTTTTATCTCAGTACTACATACATGCAGGAACAAGTATACCAGTGCAATGAAAGACTTCAGCTTTATCATGGGCTCCCTCAGAATTGTTCAGAAAGAAAGAAAGAAAGAAAGTGTATACGTAGCCCTCTATAGAGTGCAACAGTTCCTGAAATTCTACAATAAGGATGAAAAAGACCAAAGAAATGTATTAATTTTCTTAGACAAGTTTTTAAAATAATATTTTATTTTGAGTCAGTGGTATATTTAAAAACAATCTACCGTAAGAGTAAAAAGATTGTAGATAGTAAAAAATGAAAGTGTGATGACAATAAAAAACGCTAGAGTATAAAGTTAGTTTCCTTCCTCCCTTACACAACCCCACCCCATCATTGTCCAATATTTCTCAGAGCGTAATATCTGGAAAAAAAAAGTTTGTTTTTTTACACTTTCAGCAATTAGGAAATTAAAAATACGTAAGGCATTCATTGCAGGTACATGAATTCATTATTACATGAAAAGCAGGCACCATAAAAATTAAAACATTCTAAAAACCATCATATATACAAACTCTATACAGAATGATGGCACAAGGACAAAGTGATTCCATTCAGTTCATCCTAATCCACATGAAATATTACACATTAAAGAAGAAAAGAAAAAGCTCTTCCCATTCTTGTACTCAACCGCTAGGTTCAGAATGACCAGGAGTCTCCTATCTGCCTACTCTGTTTCTTTTCCTATATGCTTGTGCCTGTCAGCAGCTAAAAGGTTTCCTTGCTTTGCCCATTGATCAACACCCAGAAGAACGGCCAACTGAATGAAAATGGAAATGACTGATCACTGACGACTAATTTTACAAAGCCCATTAGCAATCAGTTTATTTGTAATACAGAACAATTAAAGAGAAGGCACATCTCACAAATAAGCTGTGTCTGATTTTTAGCCCTGGGCTATTTGGGGAAATCCTATGGCAGCTTCTCCTTACTGTGAAGCCTACTCCAACGTGCATTGAATTCAATGTGAATATCGTCATCGATTCCTATATACACGGAGATTAGGTACAAAATACTCAGCTCATTTTAAACTCCATAGCTACCTAAATGCTTTAGGTACAAAATATTCAACTCTCATTTTAATCTCCACAGCTACCTGTGTGCCTGAAGTTATTCAGAAGAAGCAGGGAAAAGGTTTAGGAAGAGGGTACTGTCAGTTGATGAACGCCTCCCGGCCTCAAGTAGAAATCCAGATTTCTTTCAAGTTACAGGAGGGAACAACCCCAGAAAGAGGGGTGATGTAGTGTTGTTTCCGATACACAGTTAGAAATGGATTTCTTACAGAGTTAGAGTCATTGCACTAAATGTTAGATACTGCACGCCTGAATGAGGTAAACATTATATACCATAAAATACTTAGGGAAATGAATTGTTACAGCTTTATCTTTGGAAAAAAACACTTCCTTCTTCACTGGACAATCCCAGAGTCAACAGACGTTTGCTTCCGAGTTGTCTTTGGAGGCGGAGGTGGGGGAGTCTTGCTGGGGAGTGGAGGTGGCAGGTGCTGGAAGAAACCAATTTTGAAGAGACTGTGTTAGCAATGAATGGATTTTTGAAACATTTCCTGGTTCACTTATAACTGCAAGAGACGGTGGGTAAGCCTGTAGCCATCTGACTCCTGAAAGCTTCTCTGCAGAATTTGCTACTATGCATACCGAATGCCATTAGCTTAAAATATAACTTTTACTTTTGACAATGAAAAAAAATCTCTCAAGCGTTCGTGATTAATTAGCTCCATATTTCAGGAAAAATCTTTTGAAAGCACTGGAGAAGGTTATAATTCTCCACTTTATATCATGATAGGATATTGATTTCTTGGTCTGCATCGATTGCCCTCAGCCCCTATGCACTACAGAGCTTAAAAGCTAGGTTGAAGCAACAGCTTCATTGCTTTTCCATTATTTTTGTATTTTGCACATTTAGAACACAAATAATTGAAAAAAAAAAGGAAACCATTTAAACAGACAAGTAATTTGCAATTTACTATTACACATTCAGTTATAATTGAAATATTCAAAACAGAATTCCAGACTGTTCAAATATACATATTTTAAATCACTTCATATATCATACAACAGAACAAGAGCACCTTTGGTTAGATTCACCGGCTAACTGGACAAATTTTAAAAGTCATTATGGAAATAAGACTTTTTTTCATAATGTTAATCATATATATGACAAAATCTGTTTCAGAAAGAGCTCGAGAACACTGCAATTTGCTCATACACTTTGCAGTCTGGTTTTCTACAGCATTTTGGCTATGCAGCCATTACAGTTTTCCCATCGCTGCACTGAGGCTGTACTGCAGCGTCAGACCTCACAAATGCTGCTTTGGTTTTGTTTTTTCCTAAGATTCTTCCCCCGCTCAGCCAGCCACCGCCTTTTGTTTTCCTCCAAGCATAACGATGCTTTTTCATTTCCACTTGTGTCTCAGTGTACCCATCCTGCCTTACCCACCCCATACTGTTGACTCCACGCACTATCACTTAAAACCTTACGATGCACACCGACTCTGCCAAATTTCCTTAATCACTGCTACAAGAACAGTTCAAGTATCTGAAACGCCTTAGTGTAACATTGTGTGTACTGCAGTTGCAACCTCGATACTCGTATTCCAACTTTTTTTAATGTCTTGGAAGAAATAACTGATGATTTCTCAGTTATATATATATATATATACACACACACACACCAGTGAGAAACTGGTATACGTGCAGCTGATAAACCACGTGAAAGTGCATAAGAAACAAGACTGTTCCTTTTAAAAGATATCTAAAGCTGCTATCCAAAAAGAAGAGCAGTTCAGGGTGATGCCAGGACATTTCAGTCTTTCGTCTGCCGTGAGGCAGAAGGGGCCCGGAGAGCCTCCTAACACTACTGCGACCTAGTGACTGGGAGTTTTCAGAGATGTGCAAGAGTAGAAGGAAAAAAGTATCTTTAAGCTAACTGAATGCCCTCTTCAACATCAGCTTTTAAGACAGCATGAAGTTATAAATCCAGAGCTTTTACCAGACAGTTTTACTAAATGTAGACTAAATAGAAAGGTAAGACTGCATACAGGCAGAGCCAGGAAGGCTGGATTTTTGCTGGAATATTTTTCCTGTATCCTACCTCGAAAGAAATACTTTCCAATCTGTTTTACAACTTTCCTCATTCCTCCCGGCTCTCCTCTACGGCAAACGAACAGGGATCACAAACTATCGTCAGGAAAGCCGTGGCCTGAGCTCGTCTCTCCATTTTGCCACTGTCCGAAACAGCAGGCCCAGAGTACAGAGGGGCGAAGACCGGCCACTCTCCATTTCCCCAGCCTCTCCAGCAGCACCACTGATGCAGCGACACCTGTGCTCTCACCTTCCTCCTTGACTACAGAATGCTTTGTTACCAACTTGGAAATCAATTGGTTTTAATCTGCTACTGGATAAGAAACTCTGGACCAAAAGCAAGGTGCCAGAGCCCGG